TTTACTACCATTCGATTCGTCTTGATGAGCTGATTCCAATGAGCTATAGATCGTCTTGATTGGATCAGTAGATAGCGAGATATTCTTAAATTACTATAATTATTTAAATTTAAGAGCGTAAACTTTTGTAATATTACGTTTTTAGTGTAATATTTCAAAATTTTACACCACCTTCAAAATATTACACTAAATTACGCGCGCCTAAACAAATTTTCTGATGTTATAGAAATTAATAACAGATTGGGCAACATTATTTGTGAAACTATTCCAAAGCTATTCCCGATCTGAACTTAAATTGCCCAAATTACACAATTGGATGTATCACATCATTAATTCAATTGAAGGATTTGGTGCTATTAATAGTTTTACAACAGAACCCTATGAGTTTTTGCATAAAGATTATGTCAAAATCCCATATAGATTAAGTAACAAGCGTGAAGCAATAGGACAAATTATTAATACAGTTAGTATATTTTTAAAATCCTTTTTTAATAATATCCATCTTTATTTTAAAAACCATTTATTTTATAGGTTCAAATCAAATTAACTTTAAAACATTTAATGTGTCAAACTAAACAGAAAAAATCTTAAAAAGCCACATCGTTAAATGGATTATATTAGGAAAATTTGCATTGGAAAATTTTGATGAATTTTTTGATATTTATAAGGAAAAAAATAGTCTCGCTTCTGAAGCTTTACTAGCATTAAGCTGTTTTCTTACAGCTTTAAATGATTTTTTTGATTTAGATGATGATTTAAATGAGGAGTTAATTACTAATAATACAATTATTTCTTGGTATAGTTATACAAATATGACTGCCAGTGAAGATTGTATTCGAGCAGTTAGCAAGTACTATAATGAATCAGAATTTAGTACATATGTGCCGATTTTTGGAATTAGTCTAAATTAAGATTTTTATAAAAATTTAATATTTTAGTAAGATTAACATTACACAAATCCAAATTAAATATATGTTACATATTTACGTAACTCAGATTTAATAAAAAATAAAAAAAATTTTTTTAATCAATATTCAAAAATAACGGTAATAACCACTTCTTTTTTCCCATTACTGCTTATCACTTTTCCATTATTTTTCACTTTTATTAAATATGACAAAAAAGTTTATAAGCAAATATAGCAATTATTTTTAAATGGTAAGTAAAAGAAAAAACTTAATATTTTATATACATAGATAAGATCACTGGTCGAAATAGTCCAAATCGGCTAGAAATTGGATGTCTGATTTTAGGCTGAATTTGGTGATAAAGATGGCCAATTTATTAATTTAGGCAAAGTTCTGATTGGCAGGCCGATTGATGCCGATCAGAATGTCTGAATTGTATCTGAATTGCTTAGTATTTTTAATCCGAATTGTTTAAAAAATATTATTCATAAATTTACCGAATTGCAGTGAATTTATTCTGAATTATGGTAAATTTGTAACAAAATTTTCTGAATTGTAGTAAAATTTATTCTGATTTGTAGTAAAATTTATTCCAATTTGTAGTAAAATTTATTCTGAATTGTAGTAAGATTTATTCCAATTTGTAGTAAAATTTATTCTGATTTGTAGTAAAATTTATTCCGATTTGTAGTAAAAAATTTATTCTGATTTGTATTCTGAATTGTATCGCAAATTACAGTAAATTTTATTCTGAAATTTAAAATATTACATATACATATAAAACAATTTCACCAAAAATTATCCCAACTTTCTAACAAATCCGGTATACGTTAAATTCCTTAATTCCCATTTGTTTCTACAAATTGGAGATGATTTTCCTACAAAAAAAAAGAAAAAACATTAAAATACAAAAAAATTAATAAAATATAATAAAAAATGTTAAATTAAACATTTTTATTAAGTTTCGTCAAAAAGTTTTAAAAATCAAAACTTTACCTGCGGGATTCCGGTATCCAAATTGGAGCTGATTTCTCTGCAAAAAAAATAATAACAAATTAAAAACGTTAAAATAAACGTTTTTTTTATTAAGTTTCGAAAATATGAAACTTTACCTATAGGATTGGCCAATTCAGAGCTGATTTCCTATAAAAAATATAAAAAACGTTAAAATTAAACGTTTTTTATGAAAGTTTCGAAGTTAGAAGAAACTTTGAAACTTTACCTATAGGATTGGCCAATTTGGAGCTAATTTCCTATAAAAAAATATAAAAAACGTTAAATTAACGTTTTTTTATTAAGTTTCAAAAATACAAAGATTTGGCCAAATCAGAGCCCTGCACTTTGGTGTTCTAGACCTACAAAATTAAGAACGAATGTTAGTTAACGTTCGTTAAAATAAAATAAAAAAAAAAATTTTTTTTCGAAGTTTCACCTTCGAAATACCGCCCAGGAAGCCAAAACTCTAAAAAAGAAAGAAAATCGAAACGTTAGTCAACATTTCATTCAAATAAAAATACAAAAAAAAATGCAAAATTTCGAAGAAGTACCTTCGAAATTCCATTCAGATAGACAGAAACCAGAGAGCCGAAAACCTAAATCTGGTTTTAGATTCCTGTACTTACAAAAAAGAAAAATTCAAATAAACAAAAGTTAGTCAACATTTTGTGTAAATAAAAAAGAAAAAAGAAAATTTTCTACCTTTGAAATACCGCGCAAGAAGCCATGGACCTACAAAACGTAAGAACGAACGTTAGTTAGTGTTCGTTAAAATAGAGTAAATAAAATAAAAAATTTTAAAGGTTTATACCTTCAGAATGGAAGACCGAAATTTGTCCATCGGCTTCCCTGCCCTACAAAAAATAAGAACGAACGTTAGTAACATTCGTTAGATAAATTAATAAAATCTTTCAGTTTTACCTTCTGAAACCTGACCGAAGAGATTTTGCCGATTTCCCTACAAAAAGAAAAAAAAGTTAACAGTTTTTTTAAATAAAGTTTCAAAAATTTTATTTTGAAACTTACCTGAAATTCGGTATCCAAGCTTCAGAGCCGATTTCCTACAAAAAAATAAAAAAAAACGTTAATAAATATTTTTCATTAAGTTTCGAAAAGAAACTTCGAAACTTTACCTGTGGGATTGGTATCCAAATCGGAGCTGATTCCTTACAAAAAAAAAAGAATAATAAAAAATAATAAAAAAAATGTTAAATTAAACATTTTTTTTTATTAATTTGCGTCAAAAAGTTTTAACGAAACTTTACCTGCAGAATTCCGGTACAATTTGGAGCTGATTTCCCTGCAAAAAAAATAATAAAATCTAATAAAAAAAACGTTAATTTAAATGTTTTTTTATTAAATTTCGTAAAGTTTCAAAACTTTGAAACTTTACTTGCGGAATTCCGGTATCCAATTTGGAGCCGATTTCCTGCAAAAAAAAATAATAAAAAATAATAAAAAAAATGTTGAATTAAACGTTTTTTTTATTAATTTGTGTCAAAAAGTTTTGAAAATCGAAACTTTACTTGCGGGATTTTCGAAACTTACCTTTGGAAATCAGTATCCAAGTAGAAGCTGATTTCCTATATAAAAGTATAAAAAAAACGTTAGAAAATGTTTTTTTTTATAAAGTTTTGAAAAAATTCTTTGAAACTTACCTTTGGAATTCGGTATCCAAATAGGAGCCGATTTCCTATATAAAAGTATAAAAAAAATGTTAGAAAACGTTTTTTTTATAAAGTTTCGAAGAAATTCTTCAAAACTTACCTTTGGAATTCAGTATCCAAGTAGGAGTCAATTTCCTATTTAAAAGTATAAAAAAAAATGTTAGAAAACGTTTTTTAAAGTAATAGTTTTGCAAAAAAAAATTAATAAAATCAGAACGTTAACTAATGTTCTGATTGAAAATATTAAATGAAAAGTTAAAAAACGTTTCGTAAAAAATAAAAATGTTAAAAATTGGAACATTATTTCCGATAAAAAATTAAAAAAAAATCCCAAAACGTTTAAAACCGTTTTGTTTAGGAATGAAGTTAGATGAAGATAAAGTTTCTAAACTTTAGTTTAAATAAAGTCTAAATTCGGTAATAGATCAACTAATTGCCAGATTAAATTTACTGTGGCTGCGGTTTAGTACATCATAAGATGATTTTGAAAAATCGTTTATTCGAATAACTTCTGAAATTGAGCCAATTTGTCCATGCCCAAAAGTTTTGATTTTGACCAGTGCAATTTGATATAAAAGTGTCATAAATCAGACAATATTAGGCAAATTTTAAGCTGTTAATCAAATATGATAATTTTTTGCTAAATTTTTATTGAATTTTTATTGAATTGTCAATTTTCCATAAATTGGAAGTACATATTTGAATATTGTGCAAATTTTAGGTTGATTTGCCATTTGTCTGATTTTTTTTTTGATTTCAACTAGCATCAATCAGCCGTCAATCAAATATAATGATTTTTTGCTGAATTTTTATCAAATTGTCTGATTGGCATCAATCAGATGTGCCGATTTATAATGTTAGTCAATTTTGGTCTGATTTTTGGCCAATTTTCCATATGTCCGATTTTTTTGATTTTGACCAGTGGATGTCACATGCAATTAAATTGATAGAATGTGCAATGCATCGCACATTCTCAATCTTTGGATGATTCTCATGTATAATTTTTCGTGCATTACGAACATTGGCCGCATTATCAGAAACTACAGCACATATTCAATCTTCTCCAATACCTTCTATAACCTTTTCAATTACCGTAACTAGATATTCTGTAGTGTGCGAATTTTCAGACAAATCAGAAAGTTGATAAAGATATTCTTTACGCGACAGAGTTATTACAATGAAGTTCCAAATTGAACGATGTGTACTAGACGTCCAACCATCAAAGGCTAAATTATAAATTAATATTATATAGTAAGTAAGATTAAATAAAAATGACATATGATAGCCTATTTAATTTAACAAACCTAACGTTAAATTCATTTCCTTTTCAAGCTCAGAATTAACTTTGAAGTTCACTTGAGCTAATTCACGTTCAAGTAGTTGATTTACTAATACAGTCGTCCTCCCATATAGTCACCCCCTGTATAATCACAACTCCCTTATAAGCATATTTACATTAATCCCAAGTTACTAATAAACTTATTAAAAAAACCTTCCCTTTAATCACATCATATATAATTATTATAGTCACACCATTTTTTTTTGGTCCCGAAGGGTGTGATTATATGGGAGGATGACTGTACTTCCCTTATTGGTGTATTGTACCCAGCATTAAGCTCTTTTATAAAATTGATGGAAAAGGGATGTTCTACTACTCTAAACATGCAATAAAAAATTTAACTAATGCACGATTAATTCGTGTACATCTTTGTTCGTTAAGCTCTGTTGAATCATGGTAATCATCCATGTTACTTTGACCTTCAGAGTATTTTCTTTTTTTGGATGACTTAGATCGGACTTATATTGCCATTCCATTACTTTAGTCATATACCTTCTAACAACTGCTGCTGGCGACTCTGGACAATGGTTTGAAAGATGCTCTTCGAGCTTTGAAACTTCACTGCGTGACCATGTATTCTTACAGTACTTGCAGGAGGCGGCAAATTTGCCAGAACTAACAGCTTTTCCTTTATTAATATCTTCCCAAATGCTATTAGGTGAGGACCCCAGAAAATACTTATATATGTAAGGTACCAAGGTGCTTAGCCAACATAAAAAAATTTTATGATGTAAGAATTTTATAATGCTTAATTTTGAGAAAATTTTATACTATGTAAGATAATTAAATTGCATATTTTTGGTATTATTTTAAAATACTAAGAGTTTTTAGTTGCTTATTTTTCATATTTATAGAACTTTTTAAAATATTATATATTGAATTTATAATTAATTTTTATTTTTTTTTCACTAACGGTGAGTGTTGATTTTGTACTGCATTTCACAATTTTATATAAATACATAAACAAAAATTTTTTTTGATGAAATTTCAGTTTTTTTTTT